CACCAAGTTCTATCACAGAGATCGGTTGGATCGCGTCTGTTAGTTGTGTTTTTCAAAGCTGTCTTTTTCTTCATTGTCTTTCGTTCGCCGGGTCTCTCAGTTTCTGAGACTGATGTTTAAGATCTCCTACTGTGTGCACGTCTGCGTGCTCTATACTTTTCTCCTCTCTATGTTTTGAAGATATGTTGGTTGCTCCACACCAGTTCACAATCGGTGGGGCAGCCTCTGTCCCCCTCGGAGACAGGGGTGTCCCTGTGACCCGGTCCTGGCTAAGAAGATGTGGGCAGCCACCTCTGAGGACTTCCCCTCCTAAATATAAAAGGAAGCTTCGTGGAGACCAAGCTCTACTTCTTGGCCCTTCCCCCTTCCTCATTTTTGGAAACAGGATGTGACTAGAGGCACCACAACCCCGAGGACACAAGCCAATCGCCCCCAAAGGACTGAATGTGCTTGTGCGGGTCACTATCTGTTAAGTTTTCTGTTATTTGCAACTAAACACCTACGTTAGTACAGATACAATTGACAAAGCTCCGTGACGACTGGAAGTGAAATACAGTGGACTTTGGGGGGGTCTCTTTACATGCTTTTGGCCTTGAATTCAATTTGTCATTAAAATTAACTACATTTGTTCCTTTTTTTATAGTCTAGTTATTCATTTTGAGAAAGAGAGCGTGAGCAGGGGAGGGGCAGAGAGAGAAGGAGAGAGAGAGAGAGAATCCCAAGCAGGCTCCCTGCCGTCCGCACACAGCTCAACGCGGGGCCGGGACCCACAAACCACGACATCACACCCTGAGCCGAAATCAAGAGTCGGACGCTTAACCGACTGAGCCACCCAGGCGCCCCGACATCCGTCCCTTTTGGGGAGCATTTGATTTCGCATGTTTTCCGTAATCCCATGAATTTTCCTTTCTTTTGCTTGTAGGAAAACGTACGTAGAGCCTTCATCACGTCAATCGGCGATTCAGTGACGCGAAGAACTCCCACAATGCCTTGCAACCGTGACCACCGACACAGCATTTTGAAACGTTGGACTGCAGCACAAGACGCAAGTCCAAAAACACGCCTGTGTCAGCGGCTGCATTACAGATCCTCGCGCCACGAGCGCGCCAACAGCCGGCTCACCGAGCCACACGTCTGCCTGCCGCCCCGGGCCTGCCGTCCTTTTCTGGCCTTGCGCAGTGCTCCCCCCGGGCGGCCGTGCAGGGGGCGGTAACTTGGCCTCACGCTGGCGTCAACGACGCCGCTTAAGGTCTCGCACGACGGAGGTGGGCAAGCAGTAGGGTTGGCGACCGGGGTGCCTCCGTGTCTCCCAGACCTGGGGGCGCGTGCCGGGACTCACAGGAGAGGTGGGAAGGGCCGGGTCTGCCCCCAGGCTGGGCGAGGCGGCTGCTGGATGCAGGCTCCCCACCCCGACTGGGCAGGATGCAGGGGGAGAACGGAGCACCTCCTCAGAGAGCACTCCGCCTGTCCTGGAGTCCGGCAGCACATGTCCCTTTGCATGCGTCGTGCACGACCGGACCTACGCCCACCCCGCCCGGATCCGGCTCCAGCAGCAGAGTCCCCGAGATCGGCCTGGGCTCTTCTTGGCACCTGGTGGTCTGTGGACCCCTTCTCCGAATCAGGTTTTAACGTACAGGTTTTAACATAACGGGGGCGCCTGGGTGCCTCGGTCGGTTGAGCATCCGACTTCGGCTCAGGTCATGATCTCACAGGTCGTGAGTTCGAGCCCCGCGTGGGGCTCTGTGCTGACAGCTCGGAGCTTGGAGCTCATTTTGGATTCTGTGTCTCCCTCTCTCTGCCCCTCCCCCGCTCACACTGTTTCTCTCTCTCTCAAAAAGAAATAAACATTAAAAAAATTAAAATGAACAGGGGCGCCTGGGTGGCGCAGTCGGTTGAGCGTCCGACTTCAGCCAGGTCACGATCTCGCGGTCCGGGAGTTTGAGCCCCGCGTCAGGCTCTGGGCTGATGGCTCGGAGCCTGGAGCCTGTTTCCGATTCTGCGTCTCCCTCTCTCTCTGCCCCTCCCCTGTTCATGCTCTGTCTCTCTGTCCCAAAAATAAAAAATAAAAAAAAAAAAAAATTAAAATGAACAAATACATAAATAAATAAACGAAATACAGAAAACACATAGGGTTATAAAAGAAACCAATTATGTTGAAATACAATCATCAAAGTCTGTATGCTTTCTGTACGTATGGTTCACATGTACGTTAATGTCATCAAAATTGATATGCGATATTTGAGCATCTTCATTAACACGTTAAATAGCTACCAACATTTGGAAGGTGTTGACGAACAGAAACAGTATTTCAAGACGTCTGCGGTAATCGCAGTGTGCTTTGAGAGTAAATGTCATTCCAGCGAAGTCCACTTTCATCACCCACGGAAACGCCGAGTTGCGGTTGGGAATGAGAGCAAAGAAAGGAATTGTGGTGCACTCCCGTCCAGGCTCCCGGGCCCTCTGACTCTGTCCGGGAGCCTCCACGGGCCCGGGTCAGTGTGGGGTCAGCCTCCCTCACAGCACAGGTCTGGATTTCGAACTTCGACTTATCCCAGGGTCTCTGCCTTTGAATGCATCGACTTTGACTCGTTAGCATTTATTGTGATTACCAGCACACGGAAACCTAGTCCTGTGAGTTAGGGTTAGGTTCTCCTTTGCCTGTTTCCTGCCCTCGCTATCCCCCTCCTGGCCTCACTTCCTGTTCCTGTTCGATCCCAACCTTGTCTTCGTTCCAGTGTTTTCTTCTAATGGTTTGAAAGGTTGGCACCATATTTCTGTTTGCCTAGTGGTGACTTAAAATTTTTAGCGTGCACATCTGAACTCACCTTTCCCTACCCATGTGGAGACTTAATCAGCATTCCGGTCGTCCCCCCAAATAAGACACATTTGGCAGTTTTATTTCCCGCCTCCTCTCCCCGCCCCGCTCAGGATGAGCTCATCTGGATTTTCCTGCCAGACTCTTGAGAGTATTTTCCGGCCTGAGTTCCCCGGTAAAAATAGTTTCACTGACTCCTGAAGGCCATGTCTTCCTCTTGGATTCATTTTTCGTTTTGCTAGAGCATATAATCTAGCAATTATGTCAGATAGTATTTGTTGGAAATAAACTCTCTGAACACTTGGCATGACCCAAAAAAGTGTTTGTTTTTCCTCCCAGCTGAATGGCTGTTGGGCCTGGCAGAGAATCATAAGCTCAAATAATTTCCCCTCCAAACTGTGAAGGTGCCCCTGGATTGTTTGGAACCCAAAGTTGCTGATGTCTGACATCAGGCTTATCCTTTCCTTTCTTTTTTTGGAAGTAACATGTTTTTTTTTTCCCACTGGGAGCTTTTATTTGCTCCCTTTGTCCATGTTCCAAAGTCCTGTCACGGGTTTTCTTCAGTCCAGGGTGGTTTTCCTGGATTCTTTGTTGAAGTCGAGCTCCCCCTCTAGTCTCTGTCCTTTGGAATTCCTCTTAAATAACTGGATGTAGAAAACTGTAGAATTATTTTTCATGCTTCTTAAGTTTTCTTCCTACGTTATAACTTTTCATCTTTTACCCTGCGTTCTAGAGAATTCTTCAGCCTGACTTTCCAGCTCACCAGTTCCAGACTCAACTGATTCTATTCAATTTCTTGGCCCACCTATTGAGTATTCCCTCCCCCCATTTTTTTTTTAAGTAATCTCTACGCCGGACATGGGGCTCGAACTCACCACCCTGAGACCAAGAGTTGCTCGCTCCACCGATAGAGCTGGCGGGGCGCCTCTGAGTATTTTTTTTTAAGTATCTGTTATTTCAATGTCCAAATTTTTTATATCCCAAGAGAGTTGACTTCTGGAAAGTATCTTTTTAAACTCATTTTTCTTTAAAAAAATTTTTTTTAAGTCTTTATTTATTTTTGAGAGAGAGAAAGAGAGAGAGACCAAGCATGAGCAGGGGAGGGCCAGAGAGAGAGGGAGACACAGAATCTGAAGCAGGCTCCAGGCTCTGAGCGGTCAGCACGGAGCCCGACACAGGGCTCGAACTCACAAACCGTGAGATCCTGACCTGAGCTGAAGTCGGCCGCTCAACCGACTGAGCCACCCAGGTGCCCCTGTAAATAATAAATTCTTATAAAAATGTGTATGACACATAAAATTATTTTTTGAAAAAAAGCAAAAATCATCTGAGCCTTTGCTTCCCCAGATGCTGTTTTTAAAAGATAAACTCTCTTTTCTCTCTGATAGTATTACTGAGGCTGTTTTATTTTTATTTTTTAAAGATTTGATTTTTATTTTTATTTTTTATTTATTTTTTTTAAGATTTTATTCTTAAGTAATCTCTACACCCAAGGTGAGGCCCTGAACCCGCAACCCTCAGATCAAGAGTCACATGCTCCATTGACTGAGCCACCCAGGCGCTGCCCCCCCCCACACCCCCCATGCTGTTTTAAACGTTCTTTGTGTTCTGGAAACTCTTGCTTCTTCTCGTGTTAGCACAAGCATCGCTGTCTCTCACCTGCCCAGGGCAAGTGTTCCAACTGGAGGCAGGAAGCCCTACCTACAACCCGTGGCTTCCACGGTTGCCGCGCCTGTCCCCGCTCCAGCCACCGGCAGGGGAATCAGGGAAACGTGGCTCACGAGAGGCTCCGTGCTAGTCTGAAGCTGGCACTCGTTTGCTTCTCCCACGTGCTGTTGGACAGGACCAGTTACCTGGTCACACCAATTGCAAGGGAACCTGGGAAACGTAGTGCAGCCAGGGGCGCACGGGTGGACGGCTGAGACACCCGCAGTCTGCCCTCTGGGCTCCGGAGGTCCATGAGCACCCGGGTTTCGCGCCCCACCCCCAGGGTGAAAAGCACCTCGTCTGGAGGGAGATGGCCCAGCCCAAAGCCCAAGTCTCTCGGATACGTGCGACCTCCCACCGGGTCCGGCTCTGCATCCTCCCGGTCCATCTGCCAGACTAGCTGTCCAGCGATCTGTCCCCCGCCCCTCCAATCTGGTCTTTCACCGGATCTTCACTGCAGCCCCCCGCCCCCGCCCCGCACTGCCTTTTGGCTGAACTGTCTTCACGGGAGGGCCCTGGGCGACATCAGTCGGCTCTCCCACCGTTTGAGGAATAAGCACTTGGCTCTTCCAACGTGTGGGTCCCGGGTCTCCAGGCCTCTCTGAGTGCAAGCTGGCCCTCGCTTTCTGGTAACGTCACGGCGAAGCACCCGGGACCTGCCAGCAGGCACTCGCACCCGGGCCGTTGTGTATTGCGGCCCCAGTTTTCCAAATGTTGCTGCGACATAACGAGGGAAGAGTGTTATTAATTCCAGCTCACCGTATCCGTTTCCCTGTCGTCCACGAGCCAGCCACGAAGCCAACAGCACATATTTTAGGGCTTTGTCACACCCGCTCCCTGGGCACCCATCTCTGTATTAGTTAGGACGGGCGTGTTAGTCAGCTGTTGCCACAGCAATGCTGCATAACAAACCACTCCAAAGTTCCATGGCAAAGCAACCATCACTGATGCCCACTCTCCCAGAGCCAAGGGCCGCTGCGGGGTGGGTCCAGGCCTGCTCTGGGCCTCCCTCGTGCTCCTTGGACCGGGAGCTTCCCGTCGGCGCACGGCCGTCCGCCCTTCACTCCTCCACGGGCAGTCTTCTGCTGAACAAGGCTGACCGTGCCACTGCATTCGGAGCCCCCGCTCCCTTCACGCCCGCCAAACACCTGTTGGCCAAAGGAGTCACACTGCCAAGTCCAAAGTCAAGGTGAGGAGTATATCCCACTCACCCAGAGGCCCGGGGCGCGGAGGCAGATGTGGAATGCTGGTGCCGGGCAGTGAAGAAACGGGGATCACAGGCAGTTCAGTCACCCTGGAAATGCACAGGGAATGCACAGGAACCACGGGAAATGCACAGATCCTGGTGTGACCACACACACACACACAAGAGAAGCTTCCTTCTGGAGAAGCCACAGAAAAGCCTCCCGGAAGGCGGTGGCCTTAATGCTTGCCTTTGTTCACAGCCCCAGACTGATGGCCACTCGCAGTCTTCCGGTCCCTTCCGGTCCCTGGGGGTTGTTACAATTTAGGACCCCAGGAGGGGGTTGTGGCCGGTTGTGGGAGTGGCACCTGTCACCTCTGCTCAAGTTCCACTGGAGAGGGTGGGTCTCCTGGCCACACCCACTTGCTGAGGAATTTGGGAAGCGGAGCGGAGTGGAGCCTGAACTTGGAGGAAGGGGTGCCTGACCTTGGTGGACAGCTGCAGCCCCAGCCCCCTTCACGGGGTTACCTCGTCTGTGGTGTCTGCTACTTCCCACGGGGATGGCGACTGCCGGTTTGTGCTCTTCATTCGCCACGTTTTCTGTTTGTCCATCAGCAAGTTGTTGGTGGCCCCTTGCTACTCGGAGGGTCCAGCAGGCTGCTGAGGACATCAGTGACCGCTCAGGGGACACGGGACCTCCGCTCCTTCCAGGCATTAGTCACCAATAGCGTCTCTCCTCTGTCTGATGCCCCCCCCCCCCAGGGCACGCCGACAGCTGCCCCTGGCCCCCTCAGCTGCTGCCTCTGAGCCACCTTCACCTGCCAGCACTGGCTGCCTGTGTGCTTTGGGCTTGGCTTCCTCCCTTGGGCCAGAGCAACACCCCCAGCCCATCTCCCCAGAACCCCTGGGGATTTCTGGCCCACTGAGGACACTCCCTCCTCTTGTTCTTCTGGTTATAACAGATTTTAAAACTTTCTGTCATTTCCAGGCATTGAAGGTGAGCCCAGGGAGACGACTAAGAAGCACCCAGGCCATCATGTTTATGCAGTCTCTGTGGCATCTAAACCCATTCAGTCCTCAAGACTTGGATGTTTAGTCCCTGGGAGCAGAATGTCCAAGGGCAAGTTGATGGAATCTGTGGGCAGCAACAGGGCCTGGGCCAGAGAGGTCTGCTGCTGGCCTTCTTGGGCCTGCCTCGGGATCCCCTCGATCTGCAGCGGGGAACCCCAAAATGGAGCCTTAGAGATCACGGTCTTGTGGCCTTAGAAATGGAGTCGCACGGTGACGTTGGTGACATGAGCTCCAGTCATGTGGCGACTGAGAATCCTCAGGCCAAACCCAACAGGTCCTAGGACGTTTGTGACCTGGCAGGTCCCTCTGCCAAGCAGCACCTTACTCGTGTTCCACTCCCCTGGGGAGGGTCCCCATTCTACAGAGCGGGACATTCCCAATCTCTACCTCAATGCTTTCAGGGTGACCCCCCCCCCCCCCCGCTGTGCTCAGGATTCTATTTTGGTTTATTTGTGATTTCATTTTAAGCTGAGATTTGGAAACCAAGGCAAGTTTGGAAGCCTCCCTGAGGCCCAGGACCACGTGTTGAGGTCATCTCTCCTCACCGAGGGAAAACCAATTATGTTTGCTACTTTTTTTTTTTAATTTTTTTTTTCAACGTTTATTTATTTTGGGGACAGAGAGAGACAGAGCATGAACGGGGGAGGGGCAGAGAGAGAGGGAGACACAGAATCGGAAACAGGCTCCAGGCTCCGAGCCATCAGCCCAGAGCCCGACGCGGGGCTCGAACTCCCGGACCGCGAGATCGTGACCTGGCTGAAGTCGGACGCTTAACCGACTGCGCCACCCAGGCGCCCCTATGTTTGCTAGTTTTAAAGAAGATACAGGATCCGGGTGGGGCGAAGTCCTCCACGAAGACGCCAACCTGCTTTTTGCGTGTCTCCCTTGGGAAAAGGAGACCAGAACGGGCACTGTGGCATCCTGGAGAGGCTTCGTCACTTCCTCCTTCCGTGAGGAGGCAACAAGGACACTATAAAGGGGTCAGAGCCTTTCTCACCCCCACAGGGCTTGGATGAGGGCACAGGCAGAGGCCTTCCCTTGACCCACTTCTCTGGCAGCTGGAAGAACCCCACCTGCCCGGAGGAGACAGAGCGCATCAGGCATGGAGCCCTGGCTGTGGAGACTTCAGATCTGAGAGGCCCTGGGTGCCAGCTCTTGGCGTCCGGAGATTTCCCCCTCAATATGACCCAGCCCAGGGGGAAAGGGAGCCAGTCTTTATTCCGGATGGTCCTTAGAGCCGCTAGGCAAGGAGTGCGGCCAGACCTGGCTCCTGGGCCCCAATCCCGCCCCAAGGGACACAGCACCTCCCTCGGGGCGCCCTCGTTCCCTCCCAGAGCGCTGCATTTCTCTGCAAGTCCTCAGAGAGACGCACGCGGCCCTGGGCGCGCGGAGCGCATGGGGCTGCAGGCCCAGAGCTGTTCTGGCCCCAGTCCCCTGGGGCCTCGGGCTCCGGGGCCCGCGTGAAGTGTCGTCGGCCCCTGCGCACCGCGGGGCGCTTGGACGCGCAGCGGAGGCGACTCCGGGAAGGGAGACAGCCCTATGGGTTGCAGCCGCAAGTCCCTTGTCTCCAAGCCTACGTCTGGGCCCCGGGCGCGGGCCCGCCAGACGCCGCGCGGCCGCGCACGAACACCCGGGGACCGGCGCCGCCCCACGCGGCCCGTCCGACCAGCCCATTGGTCCAGAGGCGCACCGCCCGCGTGTCCGCGCAATGCCATTGGTCCGAGCCCGCGGCCCAGACAAAGGGAGCGGCGGCGGCGGGCGGTGATTGGGCCGGGCGCGGCAGGGGG